GCCTCTCCCCTGCACGCATGCCTCTCCCCTCCATGCATCCTTCTCCTCTACACGCATGCCTCTCCCCTGCACGCATGCCTCTCCCCTCCATGCATGCCTCTCCCCTGCACGCATGCCTCTCCCCTCCATGCATGCCTCTCCTCTGCACGCATGCCTCTCCCCTGCACACATGCCTCTCCCCTGCACGCATGCCTCTCCCCTCCATGCATGCCTCTCCTCTGCATGCATGCCTCTCCCCTCCATGCATGCCTCTCCTCTGCACGCATGCCTCTCCCCTGCACACATGCCTCTCCTCTGCACACATGCCTCTCCCCTGCATGCATGCCCCTCCTCTGCACACATGCCTCTCCCCTCCATGCATCCTTCTCCTCTACACGCATGCCTTTCCTCTGCATGCATGCCTCTCCCCTCCATGCATGCCTCTCCTCTGCACGCATGCCTCTCCCCTCCATGCATGCCTCTCCTCTGCACACATGCCTCTCCCCTCCATGCATGCCTCTCCTCTGCACACATGCCTCTCCCCTGCACGCATGCCTCTCCTCTGCACAAAAGGGATGTCATGCTCGGAAAGATCGAGGGAGAGCAAAGGAGATGGAGACTCTCAACAACACGGACTGATACAGTGTCTGTGGCAATGGACTCAAATGTGTTGAGGAGGATGAGGAAGGTACAGGAGAGGGCTATGAGAAATACTCAACTCGATGGCACTTAACCACAACCACGGCCTCCCAGGAAGTCACCTCTTTGCGGTGGTGTTAGGTAGGTGCCTGACGCCTGACTGAGAAGTCGATAGCCTGAGCCCACTTATTAGTGTCATGGGACTACCACCTGGCAACCTGTATCTGAAAGGTCACAGCCCGGAAGAACCCGAGGATGCACCACCTTACTCTGCACACACGGGGTCGCTGTGAATCGGAGTTGACTCACCAGCGACTGGACTGGACTGGGCACGCCAGGGACTGTGTGAAGCCGTCTGCATGTACATTAATCACCTCCCTGCACCTTCCACGGTGGCTGTAAGTGTTCTAATCAAAGGTCACGTCCCTGGACCAAAGGCCAGCAGGGATCAGGTCACTCCCTTTGACGCACAGGCTACTCTTGCTCGGGGTCATGTTTGCTTGTTTGCTCATTTCGTCACATCTGTCTTCCTCGTCTTCAGCAGTGCCGTGAAGGGACCGTGCTGGACAGTGGTCTGAGAGAGATACTAACTGCATCACTTCCTCAGGCCCTGCGCCTGTGCAGTTTGTCCTGATCTCCTAACGGGTGTAGGTGCAGACCCACCCAACAGTGTCACAGAAAAGAGACCAGGCAATCTATTTCCATAAAGCCACCAGCCAAGAGGAATAGTGCTGTCAATTTGAAGACTAAGGTGCGTCTGATTCAGGTCTTTCCAATTACTTGCTATGCATCTGAAAGCTGGACAATGACTAAGGATGACATGGAAAGAATTGACACCTTTGAGCTGTGGTGCTGGAGAACAGTGAACTGCCCGTGGACAGGCAAGACGACAAATGGCTATGCCCTGGAAAGGGTGCAGCCGGAGTGCTCTTTGGAGGCAAGAATGATGACATATCATGCCTCACATACTTTGGGCATGTTGCTAGGAGGGGCTACTCCTTAGAGAAGGACATGATGCTGGGAAGGGTGGAGGGTTGGCAAAGGAGATGAAGACCCTCAAGCAGGTGGATTGACACAGTGACTGATGCAATGGGCTCTAGTGTGTCAGGAAGTGTGAGGATGGCTCAGGATAGAACAGAGTTCAGATCTTCTGTTCAAAGGGTCGCTATGAGTCATACTTGACTCAATGACACCTAGCAACAACAACCAGCCTAGAAAACCCTATCTCGTGAGACCTGGTGTCATCATGAGATGGACTCGCCCCCTGGGCAATGGGCCTGGTTAAGAGCTGAGTCGAGGAACCAGCCGCTTGACCACAGACAGACCCTGGTCTGCCAGCTCCCATGGCAGGAATCAGAGAGGTTAAGAGGCCAGAGGTCCGAGGCCTGGACAACGCCATACTCAGGGCTGGGTAGAAGGACAGAGTGTCTGCCATTGGCCTCGACTCTGGGGCTGGTGGGTGAGAAGAGTAAGAGAATGCTTGAACGAGCTTTGCCCAACAACTAGGAGATGAATTTCACCGTCTTCACAAGAAACCTTGAATTGCCGCCTTTGTCAGAAGAGGATACTGAGGTCCAGAGAGATAGACAGCTACTTGTCCAAGACCACGCAGCTAGGAAGGACAGCTCAGGAGTGAGCCCATGCCCATGAGACGCGGGCCACCTCCTTTGTCAGATAACCTGAGGAGTCCACGGACTGGTAAACTCACCCTCCCTCGGCGAAGTCTGAGATGACTCTGAGCCCCACAGCCTTTCCACTTCTGCCCAGACGCCTCTTCCTGAGGGCAAGAATATGAATGAAGAGGAGTCACAGGGCCTTAACTTCCCAAGGTGTGATTCCAAAAAATTTCACCCTCTGAGACTCAGTTTTCTCATCTGTGAAATGGGAGTCATAATGTTTGTTACTCATAATGATCAGAAAAGCAGAGTCCAGGGAAGAGAAGAAAACTCTCAATGAGATGGGCTTAAGCATAGCAGAGATTGTGATGCTAACACAGGATCAGGCAGGCTTTTGTTCTGTTGTACAAAGGGTCGCTATGAGTCGATTCATTCGAGTTATGGTGCTGAAGTCTTCAACATACCATGGACCATCAAGAAAACAAACAGGTCTTAGAGAAGGTGAAACCAAGTTTCTCCTTGGAGGCTGGTATTTTGAAGCTCCAACTCACATACTTTGGAGATGTGGTCAGGAGGGACCAGTCCTTGGAGAAGGACATCATGTTCAGAAGAGGGAGGGGGCGAGCTCTGGTGGCCTAGTGGCAAGAAGGTGTACTACAATACCAGAGGTGCACGGTTCAAATCCACCAGATGCTCTGCTGGAGAAGGAGGAACAATCTCCTCCTGTACCAGTCAGATCTGATTTGACGGTACACACACACACACACACACACACTAATAAAATAAAATTAAAAGTAACAAACTAAAAAAAAAAGGGCGGAGGGACAGGGCAGGAGAGGAAGACCCTGGATGAGACGGCTTGATACAAAAATTGGGGCAATGGAGGTTGGTGTGTCAGAATTAGTGAGACTGGCTCAGGACAGGGCAGAGTTCAGAGCTGTTGTACATGGGGTTGCTATGGGTCGCAGGCAACTCACTGGCACATAACAACAACAATTCAGCTCATAAACCTGTGAGTGCTGTGAAGTCAGTAAGCATTCACTCTTTCTACATCTTGAGCCCATTATTGCTGGCACTGTCAATTCACCTAATAGTGAGCCTTTCTCTTTTTCACAGACCCAGCTTAGTGGTAAGGAGTTGTGCTGCCAACCCAAACTTCCATGGTTCGAATCCACTGGGGACGGTGGGGAAAAGCATCAGCAATACTGTCAGTACGTGTTCATACAACCCTTTCTCCACCACAGCAGAGGGTCTGGCTGCAGTTGTTTCGTGTGCTGCTGGTTTCTGACCCATGGTGACCCTCCCCGCCCCCATTACATAGGATTTCTAAGTGGTCATCTTTATGGAAGCAGATTGCTTGGTCTTATTCCTCTGGAGCCACTCAATGGGCTTGAACCACCAAAGTTTCCCATCAGCAGCAGAGCACTTAACCGTTGCAGTGCCAAGGTTCCTCTATAAATACTAACCGGAGAGGGAGTGGTTAAACCCCTTGGCTCTAATCAGAAGGACTGTGGTTCAACCCTGGGAGCCATTCGCTCTGCAGGGGGAAGGGAAGCAATGTGCTTCCGTAAAGATTACAGCCTCCGGGGCCCTGCAGGGCAGTCCCACTCCGTCCTGCAGGACGCACTGGATGGGAATGGGTTTGGTTTCACTTTGGTGGAGTAGTGAAAAGCGTTCAACTCAGTCCCTCCCAGGGGTTCCTGTTACAATGTGGTCACAGAGAAGGCGACTTGGATGCCTTCCCCATTATTACGTCCCTGGCTCTCCTTTGTGCGCTCTGTGGCTCTGGGTAACAGACTGAACCTCTTTGGGCCTCCGTTTCTCTGCACAAGGAGGAAAATTTCTAGGACTTCCCTTTTGCCCAGTTCCCAGAGGATGCTGTCATGGAGGGAGTCTGACTCACGGTGATCCTTTCAAGCCAGAGGGCAAATGTGCCCTAGGATTTTCCAAGGCTGTAATCTAGATGGCACGAGAGTCCTTGAGAACTCGAGGTGGGATCGAACCTCTCACCTTGGGGTTAGCAGATGAGTACCTAACCATTGCACCACCAGCGCTCCTTTCGAGGACTGAACGAGGAGGCCTGGCACATTCTGCCCCGGTGCCTGGGGGGGCGCTGGGTGGGCACTGACCACTTACTGACCACCCACTGTGTGCCTCCCGAATCTTCCTGACCCCGTTTCAGACACAGAGACCGAAGCTCTGCGCGTCGCGCTCCCGAGGCCTCCAGCCGACCTCGCCCCGGGAATGGCCGCCCCCACGTCCCGGGGGAGGCCGAGGCCGAGGGTCCGAGCCCAGCCGTCGCCGGCTGGGGGCCTCGAACCCGAGTCGACCCGTGAACCAGCTTTCCCCGATCCTCCCTCCGGTCCCGGCTTACCTGCTCCGCGGCCGGGCCGGGCGGCCGCGCAGGCCCCTCCGCTCGCCCCGGCCCCGGTCCCGGCCCGGCCCGTCCCGTCAACGCCGCTTGCTCCGCTCTGCCCGGCACCTGCGTCCGGGCACCGCCCGCCGAGCAGACGGCCCCGCTGACCAATGACGACCGCCTCTCGCCCGCCTCCGCCAATCACCGGGCACGTCCCGCCCCTGGAGGCGGTGTCGGAGGCGACGGGGACGTCCTGGGCCGCACAGGCCCCGCAGCGCCGCAGCTGCCGGCTCCGCCCATGCCGCGTCCAGGCCACGCCCTTTCCCTCTGGTCACGCCCCTCCCTGCCGAGGCCACCCGTGTGGCTGACGGCGCCACCTGGCGACGCCCAGTGCGTTACACTCATAATACAACCGTTAAAGAACCCTGCTGACAACTGACAAAGCCGCTTAGGGATGTGTGCATCACGTCTCTTGTGCTCTTATCAATCCTGGGGAAAGGAGAGGCAGAATGACAACATTTTAAAAAGGAAATAATAGAAACCTAAAAAGGTCAGAGAACTGTGAAAGAACAAATAGCAAAATCACTCATTCGGCACTCATTCATTCACCTATTAGGTGCTTGTTGAAGGCCAGTTATGAGCCACGTATTGTGCTAGGTGCTAGAGACGAGGCTTTGGGTAAGACAGACCTAAACTTCTTCCCTCGCGATAGACTTCCATCTAAAGAAGGACACAGACGGAGCGTGTTGCCTGATGACAACACTAAAAATATGGGGATGTCTGGAAATAAGTCTTCCTTGAAGAAGAAACAGTTAAGCTCCTGAGACATGTTGTTGTTGTAGTTATGTGCCGTCAAGTTGCCTGCCACTCATAACAACTCTATGTACAATAGCCCTATACCCTGCTCTATTCTATGCCAATCTTACTGTCTCTGACACATTACCCCAATACCCCAGCCACTGAATCAATCCATCTTTATCGAGGATCTTCATCTCCTGCGCTGTCCCTCCATCCTCCCAAGTATGGCATACCTCTCCATGCAACATGTTCAAAGTATGTCAGATGAAGATGCAGAATCCTTGCCTCCAAGGAGAAGCCTGGTTTCACCCTCTCTAGGGTTAAACGGTTAAACAGTTTGTTTTCCTAGCAGTCCATGGTATATTCAACATCTTTCTCTAGCACCAAAGCTCAAAGACATCAACTCTCCTTTTATTATCCCTAGTCATTGCCCAGCTCTCTGATGCATAGCAAGTGATTGCAAAGACCATGGCCTGTATCAGGTGCACCTTAGTCTCCAGACTGACATCATTGCTCTTTAGTACTCTGGAGTGGTCTCTGACAGCAGACTTTTCCAACACAATACGTCTTTTCATTTCCTAGTTGCTGGTGTCATGAGTGTTGATTGTGGAGCCAAGCAAACTAAAGCTGTTTACAATCGCAATCTCTTCACCATCTATCATGATGCTGCCAATTGGCCCAGTGGTGAGAATATTTGTTTTCTTGACACTGAGCTTCAATCTATATTGAAGGCTGCAATCCTTGATCTTCTGCAGCAAGCACTTCAGGTCCTCCTGAGACATAAGTAGGCATTAACTAGAAGAAGAGGTTCAGGCAGAAGAGTTCAACTCATGCAGTGTAGAGAACAGTCCCTATTCCTCCTTCCCCTTTCCTTACCTTTATTGAATAAGTCAGTTTTACTAACTGAAATGAGAAGGTGCAGCCCGAGTGCTCTTTGGAGGTAAAGATGATAAAGCTTCACCTCACATACTTTGAACATGTTCCTAGAAGAGGATATTCCTTAGAGAGAGATGTGATGCTCAGAGAGGAGGAGGGTCAGCGAAGGGGGGGAAGACCCTCAACCAGGCAGATTGACACGGTGACTGCTGCAATGTGCTCTGGTGCGTCAGGAAGTGTGAGGATGGTGCAGGACAGGACAGGGTTCGTAGGATCACTGTGGATCACACTCAACTCGACAGCAGGTAACAACAACTGAAATTAGGGCCTCTGGTGGTTGAGTGATAAGAAGCTGAGCTGCAATCCTGACGGCCCAGTTCAAATCCGCCAGCTGCTTCAGGGGGTGGTGGAGGGGAAAGATAGGCAATCTCCCATGCCATTTACTGCTTCTGAAAACCCACTGGAGGGTCAGCTATGAGTTGCTTCTGACTCGGTGGTCCATAACAGCAACAACAACATTCAAAATTAATTTCCTGGGTGGCACAAATGGTCTGCTCTCAACTACTAACCAAATGTTCAAACCCTCTCAGAAATATTTAGAAGACAAGCCTGAAAATCAGAGTCCATAAATGTTAACAGCCAAGAGAAAGATGCAGAGCAATGTTACATTGTAACACATCAGTCATCACAAGTACGACTGACTCCAGAACAAAGGGTTTATTTTCACTCCTTAAAATTCTGGTGTGTTAAAAAAAAAATAAATAAATTCTGGTGTGTTGTGTTAGCATCTACATGTTTGGGGTTTTGTTGTTGTTGTTTTGTTTTAGGGTTTTTTTTTGTTGTTGTTGTGTACCGTCAAATCAAATCCAACTGGCACAGGAGATCTCCCCTCCTTCTTCAGCGTAGCATCTGGTGGTTTGAACCGTGTGCTTTCGATGTTGCAGTGCTGCTTCTTGCCATTAAACCACCAGAGCTCCCTAGCTTCTACATGTTTTCAATGGCAAGATAAGCCACAATGTGTTTAGAGTAGTAACCTACGTGGTTGCTGTTGTGTGTTTTAGAGTTGTTGTTATTCGTTATCCAGTCACTCTGATTCATAAGGACCCTGGATCCTGCATAGATTGCATCACCGCTCAGTCCTCTGGGCTATGCTTGAGCCCATTACCGCAGGCACTCCATCAATTCACCTAGTTGAGAATCCTCCTCTTTTCTCACTGACCTTCAGCTTTTCCAGATATGATGTCTCTTTTCTAGGGACTAAGTTTTTCTGATAACCTGTCCAAAGTCTGTGCAACAAAGTCTCACCATCTTTGCTTCTTAGGAATGCTCTGGCTACATTTCATCCAAGACAGATTGTTAGTTCCTTTGGCAATTCGCAACATAGTCCATAATTTTCCATCAACATCACAATTCAAAGAAACCATATGTCCTTTGGTCTTTCTTACTTCTCATACAACTTTTACATGCCTAGAAATCAATTGAAATACTGTTACTTGAGACAGGCCATTCCTTGATCTTTGAACTCATTAGTACTTTATTTTTCAAATTTTATTTTTATTATTTTTTGTGTGTGTACCATCAAATTGGATTTAACTGGTACAGGAGGAGATTGTCCCTCCTCCAGCAGAGCATCTGGTGGTTTCGAACAGCTTACTTCTGGGATTCCAGTGCAGCTTCTTGCCACTAGGCCACCAGAGCTCACCAGTATTTCCAAAGGGTCCTTGGCACCAGATTTGCCTAATGAAATACATCTTTTTTTTTTAAAGAGGTATCCAAATTGACAAAGAGGAGGTAAAACTATCTTTATATGCAGATGACATGATAGTATACTTAGAAAACATTAAAGATTCAGTGAGAAAACTATTGGACATAGTGAACCAATTCAGCAAAGTGTCAGGATAGAACATCAACATACAAAAATCAGTTGGTGTAGGGGAATGATTTCATGAAACACAACGGGAATTAAGGGAAGTGTGAAACACAGTGTATATGAATTTTGTATTGTAAGCCAATATAAAATAAAAATTTTTAAAAATCGCTTGGATTTCTCTATAGTGACAAAGAGAATGTAGAAATGGAGTGAAGAAAAACAATACCAATTACAATAGCTAATCACAAGATTAAATACTCAAGAATTAATCTAACTAGAGACACAAAAGACATGTACAAAGAAAATTACAAAGCATTACTACAAGAAACAAAAAGAGACCTAGAAAAAAGAAAAAGAGAGAGAGACCTAGAGAAATGGAGGGATATACCATGTTCATGGATAGGAAGGAATTCTCAGCATCATGAAAATGACAATTCTACCTAAGACAACCTTCAAGTTCAATGCAATCCCAATACAAATACTAATTCCATTCTTCATCAAGATGGAAAAGGTCATTTCCAATTTTATCTGGAATGGGAAGAGACCTAGAATAAGCAAAGCGTTACTGAAAATTAAAAACATGGTAGGATGCAATATATCTTTTGATTTCTTTTGCTTCTAAAGATGTTGATACTGGAGCCAAGTAAATTGAAACCCTGAACAACTTCAATCTTTTCTTCACTTAATTATGAATCAAACACCATCTGACAAGTAGCAAACAAACCTGAATTTCACCAAGCATCTGAGTGTATTCATTGACAGGAAATGCAAAGGACAAAGGTACATGTTAGGGGACAGAAGTAGATGTTTGGTTTTCAGGTACTTGTAGAAGAACAGAGGAGGGAGAATGAGTAACAGATGGATCTGAGGTTTCTTGTCTGGCTGATGGAACTACAGCGGTGTGGTCAGTAGAGAGCCACTGGCCCAAATGCATTGCTTCCTTGGCAGTTCGAATCCACTATCAGCTCTGTGGGAGAAAGATGGGCAATTTCCACCAGTGTAACTTACAGCTTCGACCACAATGAGGGTTGAAAGGCCACTCTCTAATTACACAGTGGTAATGGGTACACAACATTGTAAATATACTGAATTGTGCACTTCAAAACAGCTAGATTGTTGTATTGTTACACTATGTAAATGTCTCAATTTTTTAAATAGCGACTTAAAGCAACAACAAACTCAGAAAACAAAAAACCCAACTGTTGTTAACTGAGGGTAAAGAATTAATAACAAGACAGGACACCAAGAATGTAGGAGAAAACAAAGAGGTAAAGCAGGGAGTGAGCAGCTCGAACAACTGAAGCGTTGAACCCAGCTTCCCCGTCTTTAGTGAAAATCACCATGGAGCAAATCACAGAGAAATCTATGCAAACGAAGTGAAGCTCTTTCAGATGAAAGCCTTTTGCTTGACTCAGGAGGGAGGGGTTAGCAATTACAATACAAGAATTGTATAAACACCTAAGTTTAGCACCTGCCTTGGTGCTTAACCCCTGTGAACACGTATGGTCTGCCTTGGTGCTTCATGGGGGAATTCCAGCTTGTATCCATGCCTCCTGCATATTCCTAACATAGCATTTAGTTTATTATCAATA